CAAACCCTACCCTTTAGGGCGGCAAATACCTATATGGCTTACATAAGAGAGTAACCCCGGGTCCTGACCCCTTTCATGATTGTTAGAGACCGAGACCATGTCTAAAATGGGTGTAGAAAATAGCATTTTTGTNTACCCATTTTCAGACCTGGCCTAATTTGGCCTGTTCCAGGCTCTCTGATAAATAGGAGACTACCCAGTTTCCTCCCGTTTTATTTTCGCCCTTTCTCAATTCAGCGGACCCAACTATCTCGAAGCCTGGAACAGGTTAGGCCTGATTAGGTAGAAATTATGTCATCATTATATATTATAGATTAGAGCGCAACAGTAGATCATTCTCTCTTGAGCGCAAACAAAAAATTCTTCAAAAGCATTTCAAATTCGCATATTTCTATTTCGTTCTTATTCATTTAGAATTGAAAACGATAAATACATTCGTACATGTACGCTCCCGTTCTTTTCTCGAAAACCATACCCCGATTCCAAACCAAAATACTAAAAAGTGTTTTCAGACCACCAAAACGGCCCACAAACCCTACCCTTTAGGGCGGCAAATACCTATATGGCTTACATAAGAGAGTAACCCCGGGTCCTGACCCCTTTCATGATTGTTAGAGACCGAGACCATGTCTAAAATGGGTGTAGAAAATAGCATTTTTGTCAGGCTCTTGATTCAGAGAACCTCCACCAAGAATTTCTATTTTATACCCAGTCCGCAGTCTGCAGTCCGCGTTATACCTAGTTCGTGTTTTATAACCAGTCCATATTTTCCGGTCCGCGTTTTATACCTAGTCCGTATTTTATACCCAGTCCGCAGTCCGCAGTCCGCAGTCCGCAGTCCGCAGTCCGCAGTCCGCAGTCCATCTTTTATACTGACCGCTCTGGAATCCCTCAGAGGGAGGTGGAGGTGATCGAGGAGGACTAGAAACGAGAGTCTTCGGCTCGTCAGGAGAAGATGGCGCATCTGGCGATCAACTTAGGTCGTCGGACTTGCAATATCTAACAGAATTTTAAGAATAAAGAACTTCGAACGGCTAGGGAAATGTTATTGAAATTATTTTAAACTCTTCTTTTCCTTAAACATAAGGAAATTTCGATACTAAGAGTATAAGGGAGCAAGCACCTCAGAATTACTAATATGGTATCCCTCAGAAAGAGGTGTTTATTTTTAACTTGTAAATGGAATCCCTCAAAAGTAGCCTGGGACCAGGCTAAATCTTCAGGCACGTATGTTGTTTGTGCAAACTCACTACACGTTAGCTACAGAAGAAGCTGATGATTTTCCAGTAATCGGACACTTAGTTATGCGCACAGGATTATGGGATCGCCAGGAGGCAAATATGCAAGTCACTACAAAGAAATGTATGGCGTGGAGCTGTTTCTCCGTTAGAAGCAGTGTCTTTGGACAGAGAATGCAACATTTTGTCATGATTTTATGAGAAGCGGAGGTGACCAATGTTGGTGCGAAGAAATTGTAAGTCTTTGTGGGATCAATGCGATGAAATCTATCGATAAACACTGAACCGGCTTCTCAACAGACATTAGCGTCCGAAGATTACCTTGAGAACCTCTCAAGGATCTTGAACTATTCATCTAAAGATCTAAGAGTTGCACACCTGAACATTTGTAGCCTTCGATATAAGATCGACGAATTAAGACTCCTGCAGAGGATATGTAGATTCGACATCTTGGGAATTTCTGAGACCCACCTGGACTCTTCTGTTCCTGATAACTTCTTGCAAATAGACGGTCTCCAACTTATCCGACGTGACAGAACTAAATGTAAAGGAGGAGGTGTTGCCCTGTACTATGCTGAACATCTTACGGCTGTACACCGTAAAGATTTATTAGTCAGAGATATTGAGGCCATATGGATACAGGTGAAATTCCCTACCCACACTACTTTATTCTCAGTTGTTTACCGATCTGAACTCGAAACTCCGAACTTCTTTGAAAACTTTCACGGCGTTCTTGAGAAAGCCTGGTTGAAAACAGACAGTATTTTCGTCCTTGGTGACTTAAACTGCTGCATGTTAGAAGCCCAAAACAATCCTGGCTCCACCTTAATTACATCTAAAACAAAGAATTTGCTGAGGCTTTTTGAAGATTTTAATATGCAAAATGTTATTGCTGAACCAACCCGCATAACTTATACCACAAAGTCACTGATTGATCTTATTGTTACCACCAAGGTGGATGTTGTGCGATGCACAGGAGTAATGCCACTAGGTATATCCGACCATTGCCTAGTGTATGCAACGCTTAAATTGGGCAGCAAAAGACCACCGCCGAAGATTATTCGCACCAGAAACTTTAAAAACTTTAATGCAGCGAATTTTAAGGCTGATATTGAAAAGATTCCTTTTCATATCTTGGAAATTTTTCATCACAAAGACGACGCGCTCTGGGGATGGGAACAATTGTTTAAAGATATATGCAATGCTCACGCCCCGTTTAAGGATGTGAAAGTGAGAAGTATGTCTGCTCCGTGGATTAACAA